CGTCTCTCTCTCTCAGAGTGGTGACGTGGTTGATTCGCCCGGTGAGTCGAACCCTGTGCCTGAGACACAGGGCAGTGTTTCGGATCAGCGGCAGGTCAGCCCAGAGGACCTCACCGACAACACCCGGCTGTGGCTGGGCAAGGACTACAGCAACTTCATCACCAAGGACTGGGTCCAGCTGGACCGGCCCTTCGAGGGTAACCAGGCCGCTGCTGCTCCTTGTCCTTCGGTCAGCACTGCTGGGTCAGGGTTAGGACACCCGCCTCGGGCAGCCCTCAGCCCTCGTCCCTCGCAGGGACAGCTCGGAGCAGCCAGTGCAGAACTGGGAGTCTCTCCAGCTCCCTGTCCTTCGGTCAGCACTGCTGGGTCAGGGTTAGGACGCATGCCTGGGGCAGCCCTCAGCCCTCGTCAATCGCAGTGCAGAACTGGGAGCCTCTCCAGCTCCCTGACACACTGTCCGCTCCCTGCCCTGCCCCTTCCTGCTTCCCAAGCCAGTTCCACTCCAAATCCCATCCTCCCTTTCGTTCTGGCACTGGTACAGGCCCGACCTCGGCCCTTTAGAGCCTGTTCCTCCCTCGACAGCCTCCAGTCCTCTCTCGGGTCCTCCCCAGCCCAGGCATGGCGGCCCCCACTTACCCCGCCTGCCCGTTATAGCAGGCTTGTGACCTTTCACCCCAGCAGCTGAATCACCCTGTAACTCGCACCTGGCAGCCCCCTGAAGCTCAGCAGGTGTGAGCCTGGCCAGTACCTGGATGGGAGACCTCCTGGGAAAGCTAAGGCTGCTGCTGGAAGAGGTGTTAGTGGGACCAGTCGGGGGCGCTCACCCTGTGTTCTGTGTGGGTCCTAATGCCCCAGTATAGTGATGGGGATGTTATACTGTAAAAAAGATGCCGTCTTTCGGATGAGACATAAAACGTAAAACCGAAGTCCTGACTATCTGTGGTCATTAAAAATCCCAAGGCCTTTCTCGATAACAGTAGGGATGTAACCCTGGTGTCCTGCCCACATTTCCCCCTGGCCTTTACCAGTCATGGCCTCCTGATAATCCCCCTCTCTGAACTGGTTTCATCACTCTGCTCTCCTCCCCACTGAGAGCTGGTGTGTGGGGAGAGCACTGGTGCACTATGGCTGCTGTTGCATCATCCAGGTGGGGCTACACACTGGTGGTGGTGGAAGGGAGTCCTCATTACCTGTAAAGCGCTCTGATGGAGTGTCTAGAAAAGTGTTGGATAAGTGTAAGGAACTATTATTAAGAGTATTGACTAGGTCAACACAGAGGACGTCTTCAAAATCAAAGGTGAAACAAGACCCACATGGAAACTGAGAACAGGAGATACCTATTTGCACAAAGAGTGGTGGGAGTGTGGTACAAGGAGTCCAGCTGTACTTTTGAAGCTGATAAACTGGTTTTGTTTGATAAATGACTGGATAAGATTCTGGAATAAGTTAGCTACTGACTACCAAAGGAGCTGGGTGGACTGCATGGCCTCCTCTCATTTGTAATGGTTTTTCTTTCTCTTGCTCTCATCTTCATTTTGTCCTTCTCCTGCCTCCCTCCTCCTCTCCCTCTCTCTCAGATAACATTGACCGCACTGTGGTTCCCAGGATGCCATGGCGGGATATGGCCGCAGTGGTTCATGGGAAGGCGGCTCGAGATTTGTCTCGTCACTTCATCCAGCGCTGGAACTTCACCAAGGTCAGCATGGGCGAGGCACGAGCGAAACTGTAGAGTTCAGCCAATGTGTTTGAGGTCATCCAAATGTTTGAGGTCAGGAGTCACACAAAGACTGATCTGAGACTGTGCTGTTCTTTCTTCCAGATCTTCAAGAACAAATACAAAGACGACTTCTACCCCTGCCTGCTGCCCAAGTCACACAGCGCTGCGGACTCGCTGCCATTCATTGTGCCTCAGACCCGCAGTGCCAGAGTGCAGGTACAC